GGCTCTCCCGGCGCCGTGTGCGCAGCCACGGAGCCGAGCGGCTGCGCGGGGAGAAGCGCCCGCGGGCCCCTCGCTGCGCGGGGGAAGCGCGGTCCCTGCCCGCCGTGTCCGTGCGGGACCCGAGGCTGCGGTGCCCCGCTCCTGCGGCCGCGCGTCCCACGGCAGCCGGCGGGGAGAGGGAGCTCAGGGATGGGAAGCGAAAGTTGGGCATGCTGAAAGGCAGGCGGCGTTTTGGCAGCTGGACGCCTCTTATCGGCGGCACATCAACGTGGCTCGTTGGGGAAAGCATCAGTAAAAAGCCGGGAGGCTGAGAACTGCACTTGTTCCTATCAAAAGTAGTAAAACCGCGTTCAGCCGTGCCTTTAACACAGGAGCGTGGCTCACAGAGAGCGGCGCCAGCAGATGATTTTCCTTCCTGGTCCAAATGGAAGCCACTCGCAGCATTCTGCTGGTGAGGACCATCGGCGGGTCGCATTTATCTCAAACAGCTGACAAAATCCAGAAAACATTTACATGTTACTGAAGGAAGATTTTTACCGGACTTGACGCCCTCAGGAGTACTTTGCAACTAAAAATAAATCCTGTTAAAGTTGTTTTTAAGCAGATAAGTATAAAAAGGCTTTGGACACCTTTTTACATTTCCATTGCTTAGACTGAAAGAAGTAATAAAGAACAAAGTAAAAATGGAGAATTTAAGTGCAGAGAAATGAATGAGCTTTAAAAAGTTCTTTATTTCTATCTACAGTGCTATTAGCAACTGCAAGTAAATATGTCTGTTTATGACTTGTGATTTTGAATTGGCATTGTCCCATAAATCATGAGAGCAAATGCAGACCAAGCTGTTGGATCCACAACCTGCAACTGATAAACAAGCTGTGCTTCAGCATCACTGTTGCACTGAGATAAGCATGTGTAGTAAATAGTAGAAGGATATGCTCCAGTATGCAAACTCTGCAAGTGCACATACTTACTCCGTAAGTACATATAGTAAATAGATGTAGTAAATAGTAAAAGGGAATGTTCCAGGTTGCAAACTGATGCTAAGAAAGATGCTTACTCACACTAGGGTTGGCTGTTGATAGCTGGCAGTAGATAAAGGTATCTGGAATGAGTGTTGTGGAGGTACCAGGGTATGAAATAGTTCTTCCTAAACGCTGTCCTGGGTACCCACAGAGAGGATGTTGCGTGAACCAGCTGCCAATGGGGGGTCTGCAGGCAGCCTTGGTGAGCAGGTCATGGTGGCCAAATGGTCGGGAGCCAAACCATCAGCAAGGGATGTGGAGTGCCTTGTTTTATTTGCCGTTCAGCATGGCTCTGGCGTCACAGGTGCCTTTGGAGCACTCCCACAGGGCCTCTCAGGGGTACAGTAGTTACCTCTGGACTCTGGCTTACCACTCACTATCAGCTGAAATAGAAGAGGAGGTAAAATATTTTGAACCCAAGTCTTGATTAGAACCAGAACACCCTTGCTAAATTAAATAGAAAAAATACATCCTCAGAACGAACAAAAAAATTCATTATTGTATATTTTAACTCTTTTTTCTCCTCCAGATTAAAGGTGCTTGCTCTGGGTTTACAGGAAGGAGGAACTGGAAGAATAATGAACTTTCCAAATCTCTCATATGAAGTAGAAATAAAGTAAGAGCCTGTAGTTCCTTAAGTGAGCTTCTCACAGGAATCAGAGGAATAAGATCCTCTTCTGTCTTTTTGCAGACTCAATTTCTTCCCATTTCTTCTTGAGCCAAATTGTTCAGCAGTATAAAGGATGAACCCAAGTGTTTACAGAGTTTGGATCATGTCTCCCTTTTTAAAGAAACCAAATATGTACAGAATTATTCCTAGCCGTACTAAAGGGAGTAAAGACATTGGAAATAAATTTTTTGATACTTTGGGTCTTGATTTCTGCAATAACTAAGTTGGGAAATCATTTTATACATTAAAGTGAGGGTAATGTTTTATACATTATGCTAGTAAATATTTTCTTTTAATTTCAGTTCATTTTCAAGAAACTGCATCTCAGTTAGCATGTATTAACATGAATTCTCACTGGTTTTTAATATTTATGAATCATCTTGCACTGTTACAAAAGCGTCAGTTTACTGTAGACCACAGGTCCATTCAGTATGCAGTGTGAGGCTCTGACCATTACCAGTTCCCTTAGCTGCTCTATGCCCAGCAATATCAGCGTAGTACTTACTGTCAATTATAGCTCTGTGTCCCTATTGACTTTCCCAAATTTGCACAGAGCTATTATTTTTTTTTCCAGTTTAAAACAAACCCAAAAACATAACAAAACCAAAACCCCCTTTTGATGAAAGGCTTTATAGTTGAATGATGAAAAGCACACACACTCGTGGTGTTCAAGAACACCCAAATACAAAATGTTCAAATGCCCGCATATCTTTGTAAAATGTACGTTTCAGTTTCCATGTCACAGGATCTGCATATTTAATGTCTGATTTGCAAGCATAACTTGGCACTCAAGTCTTTTGCATGCTGGGAAACAGTTTTATAGCTTAAACGTACATTTAAGTGGATGGAAATGATGACAAAGGTTAAAATCAGGGAGTTTTTATTATCTATAGAGCTCCTGTAGAAATTCTTTTTTCCAGAAGACAGTATATATGCATTAGACATAATTGTCTAAATTGATCAAATAACCCAAAGGTAGTCAGAAAGGTTATTGAGAGAACAAGACAGAACATCTAAACTGAAACAAACAAAATCCTTCCTCACAGGTCCTTATGTTGTTTCAGGATGTCACTGTTGCTGCAAACAGTTACTGTCAGGGAGCTTTCCTCTGGTTTTCATTCATGCTGTCCAGAGGAAGACAGACTTTCTGTTTTGTTCATTATGAAACACACAAATCTTGTATGATGACAGAGCAGCAAAGCAGAGAGACAAAAACTTCAGTTTGGGTACTGTATTTGATGTCCTTATACTGCTGAGAGGTACGAACCATGACCCCTTGGCAGTCAGTAGTACCCATTAGCAGAAATTTGACCTTCTGCAGGGTAGACCCAGCCACAAAGCACCTTGCCTCCATTCAACCTGTTGCAGAGGTCTGCAAATCTCCACTGCTGTCAGTACTGTTCCCTCAAAGCCATGCTGCAGCCAGCATGAGGTGAACCTTTGGTGCAACATCACCTTGACTACTGTGTGCGATTCTGGGCTCCACTTTTTAAGAAGGATGAAAAGGTCCTGGAATGCATTCATAGGGCAACAAAGCTGGTGAAGGAGTTGGAACACATGGCCTGTGAGGAACAACTGAGAATTTCAGGTTTGTTTAGTTGGGAGAAAAGAAGGCTGAGGGGAAACTTCATTGGTCTCCACAGCTTCCTCAGGAAGGGACATAGGGAGGGAGGTGCTCAGCTCTTCTCCTGGGTACCCAGTGACAGGAGTCAAGGGAATGGTTCAAAACTGTGCCAAGGGAGGTTTAGACTGGAAAATAGGAATAATTTCTTTACTGAGAGGGTGGTCAAACACTGGAACAGGCTTCCAGTAGGGGTGGGCAATGCTCCAAGCCTGTTGGTGTGTAAGAGGTATTTTGACAATGTCCTTAGTGACTTGCTTTAACTTTTGGTCATCCCTCAACTGGTCAGGCAGTTGGACTACATGGTCATTTTAGGTCCCTTCAAAATGAAATCTTCTCTTCTCTTCTCTTCTCTTCTCTTCTCTTCTCTTCTCTTCTCTTCTCTTCTCTTTTCTCTTCTCTTCTCTTCTTGATGTAATAAAAAATTCTTTCTAAATCACCAAGCATCAATTTAATGGTGCATATTACTGATATGTCTGAAAGAGGCCTGATGCCAGACTTTCTGTTGTTGCTCTTGGTATTGTTGCTGTTGCTGTTGTTGCTTGTTTTATCAGTGTAAGTTAGTGAATTTCAGGCCAATAAGTAGATTTTTAATCATATTATTGCACATAAGTGGAAATATATATATTTCTTGTTTCAGTCAGTTTGGGATTCTCTGACTGTCCCTGATGTCTAGGCTTTGTATCTGCTTCACCTGAGTATGGTAAGGTCTGTCAATCATGCCCAGGTGTGATAACCACAGATTATGGACATTCTTGGGAACTTCTCACCGAGCATGTCAAAACCTTCATTTAATGTACACTCTCAAATTTAGTGTGGATGTGCAAGCAGTAGTACTTGAAATTATTGGGAAGTCCCCAGAGATCACAGATATGCCAATTACTTAAGACTATGCCCTTTAAGAAATCACCTCCCTGTTACTTATTATTGTGTAAGAGGTGTAGCCTTGTGACTTTACTTTCTCTTGTACAACACAATGGAAGCATGAGTTCCTTGGGTCTTACTAGTAAGATTTACTACATTTGTGAAAGGAGGTATTTCACAAGCAAGTGATGTTAGAATTCAAAAAATGAGACCAGGAAATAAAAAATAAAACAGGCTCTTGAATTAAAAAAAAATAAAATAGGAAACAACACTGAAATGAAACTAGTCTAGTCTAGTCTTCAGACTAGATCACCAACCTGAATAGTCTTACAACTGCTTATTGATTGTTTTGTTAAAATTGTTATGCATTTTGCCAGTTATTATCAAAGGCTTCTTTTAAAATGCTATTATTCTAGCCTACATGTCCTTAAAATGATAAACATTCCTAATACTGTGTAGTGTTGAGTGAGTTGTTTGCTATTTGATTGCAGTTTGATTCAAGTGACGGCAGTTTTAAATAGCTAACTACATATTAATAGAAATATGACATGCACTGTCAAATTTTTGCTCTAAAATTATTAGCATTGTGATAGATCTAGATATCATTTTGCATAATTTGAATTAACATAAACCAGGCTAATAATGTGCACTTGTGAGCAAA